CTCAATTGTCAAGTTGTCCTACCATGCAAATGTCGTCGAAGCTTCCCGAGAGTGATTTGCCGCGTTGAATCGGGTGAGAAGATTTCGTCACAACTGGGACACCGACGAGACCGTCAAGGTTCCTGAGTCTTGTGTATACAGCTTCTCAATGAATTTGCCGAACAACGAATGAAGCGTTTCCAACACACTTTGGGTCAGAGCAGACAATTTACTGTCGAAGAAATCCAAGCGTTCAGTCCTTTTGAGTCGAACGATGTTTCGGTCGAGGAACTGAAAGCCTCCGTCAAACTGGAAGGCGAGGACCCACAAGATGTGTTGCAATTCATCAACATTGTCCCCACCGTGGAGCTTCCGGAGGAGCAGACTGCATTGAATCAATCTACGGGTGAAGAAACTACAGCCGACATAAATGTCGAGCCGAAAGTTGGAACCGATGATGCAGACGTTGACATGCCGGACAGCTACACTGGAGGAAATGATGATGTGCCCGGGCAACGTAGCAGGCGTAAATGCCTTGCCAGCGGCGCCCGAGCTAGATCAACAAATGGCAAAGATTGAAGCCGATGTCCTTGAAGTTTTGGCGGATGTGCCAATGGCACCCGAGGCAAGCGATGAACCCGTTGCAGGCACGTTGTCTTCTTCCGCATCAAGGCCCCCTCTGCCACGCTTACGAGGCAAAGGACAGGGGCAGGGTACTCCTGCAACTGCTCCCGTAACGAGGGGCTTCTTGGAGCCTGACGACGATGTCGATCTCGACTTGAAATATTCTGGAAAAGGGAAGGGTGTGCTCGTTCGCGAGGTCAAACCCAACCCTGAGTACAAGAATATGAAAGTTGAAATCGAAGAAGTTCTCAGCAAGTATCCTTACCCGGATCACCTGTTGAAGGCCATCGGCGACGGCGGAATTCAGCCTCTTGAAGAAGAATTGGGCCGAAACGCCCAACAGTATACATTGCATCATATCACCGGCCACCGATACTACTACGAGTATGAGGACAACCATGGCTATCCATGGGAGTGGGGTTGTTCCTGGCCGAAGCACGTACGGCGTGGAATTTCAGGATTGTTGCGTGGGCATGTTCCCGACGTTTCAATTTACGATCCGGCGTGCTATTTACCAGTTTACAAATTATTGCAATTGGCCAAAGCAAAATTTCCAGACTATGCGGATTCAATCAATGTATTTGAACTTATTTCTATGGCCATTTACGACGACAAGGACAGGATTGAGTTTCAATGCGTTTACGATTCTCGTGTGAATGAAGCCCTTGAACTTTGGGCGGCGCCTGTGAAGGTGAGGTATGGTCAAGGCCATACAGATGATGTCCTTGAGACGAGGTCCAACGAAGTTTTGGCCAAGACGATCTACTGTCGTCCCGATCACATGCATCGGTATAACCGTCGTCTTACCGCGCGCGGTAATAGGGACATCCCACCCCGGCTTTATCACCGGACGCATGAAGATGCCGCGCGTGCCATAATTGCAAATGGCCTCCTCCCCGGCGGAGGTGCCGGCGGCCCGAAAAGTAAGGGCAATTCCTTCTTTTCCATACTACCTCTGGGAGACCAGAAGGCGATGTCCGGCGTGCGCGCGAATCGACCCATTGAGCTTTGTTTTTCTACCGCTGAAATCATTGAAGCAGGCGTCGACCTTTTCATGACCAACTCGAATGCAATGATTACAAGTCATCATGTTCCCAACACGTGCATCCTCTTCACCACCCGTGCCCGCGTAAATGCGGAGCCTGAAGTGTTCTACTCAAGGCCACAGGCTATTGACCCGGCGAATATGGACGTTGGAGCACCGCAGGATGACGTTGTTTTGATTCCAGGCAATGTTGAAGAGGCGCAGCAACAACAGGCTACAAGTGAAGCCACGCCTGAGGAGCGAACAGCCGCCAGCAGTGCTGCCAAGAAGGAATCGATGGAGACAAGTCACGATACAGCTGTCCCACAGATCGAGAGTGGATATTTTCTTCGCCTTCGAACCTTCAGCTGCGACAAATGCACCACACTTTCCTTAGCCGGAATGGCATCCTGTCACAGATGTGGAGCAGTCTTCCAAGGCAGCACAACGGACGGTCGTGTTTCGAAGTTTATGAGATTGCAAATGAGGCGTGCGAAGACCGTGCAACAGCAGGGGGGTGTTCCTAACAACATGACGGCCGCAAGCGTGCTTGACAGCGTTGCCGCGCAAGACATGCAACCTGGTCGTCCTCCCGCTCGTGGCAATCCCTCAGTTGACAGTCAGATTATTCTTGCTGCTAGAGGTCGTCTTCGCAGAGCGTTGAAAGAAGGGTATGAGAATGTCTACGATCGATTCAATCGCGACGACGTCTTCGCCGCCTCCTTAACCGGAGAGGGATGCACCGCATTTGATGCGGCGCAGGAAGACTTATATGCGTCACTACAACTACCTGCACCCTCGCGATCCGCAAAGCAGAGATCCAAAGGGAAGTCAGTTGTCAGCGATTTGGATCGTCAAGACAGAGTTGACCTCGCCAAGCTCGCGTACATTCGATGCGGCGTTGACAACCTACATACCTGTTTCAAGCAAGGCCTCGACGAGAACTTTTTGATCAGCTATCGACGTGAATTTTTGTCTCTTCGACAATTCGCTGCCGTAATTGGCAACAGCCGAGACGAGATCAGAATCCAAGGTTTCATCCCGACCGAAGATGTATATGGCGATATTCATTCTATCCGCATTCCTCGTGGAGACACGATGGGCATTTACAAGATTTTGAGCGAATTTGCGGAGGAGAATGAGAGCTTTGCCAATATTCAGTATCAGCGAAATGCCCGACAGTCCGCAAACATGCAGGAGCGCGACCGAGGGCAGTCAATTCGGCAAATGGGATTTATGAATGTTGAACAGCGCATGGCAACGCCACTTCCGAAGTATGCGGGTTGCGGACAGGATATGACGTCCTATGAAATTCATCGGTTGGAGCAGCTTTTGTTGGAATTTGGACAACGCGAGGCACCGTCTCCACAAGTGCCTGTAACAAGGCCACCGTTGACTCGGAAACGCTCGCAATCCTACATCGAAGGCGTTGCCGACGCTGACAAGCGACCAAGATTGCAGTGGAGGAAGAAAGAAGAGCGAGACCAGTCTGGTCGCATTGCTTCATGGATTGATGATCGAACTCCTCCACCAGGCGTGCCTCGTCCACCCGCTCCCATAACAGGGACGCATACATCGTCGGTGTACAGGCCGCCTCATCCTCGTGGTCAAGAAGCAGCGTCACCAACGGAGGACTTCCCTAAACAGAATGTCAGTGCAGATCAGAGCATTGTCGGCAAGGGCAAAGGCCAAGGCAGTTTTTTTATCAAGGGAACGAATGCTCCCGTAAAAGGGACGTTCCGTCGGCCGTGCAATGTCAAGTCCTGAGGACAGCATGCCCAGGCGAAAGACCTGTTCGGTCCACCACTGCACACTCCACCGCCCGTTTCATCGGCAAAACCACAAATTCCAAAGCCACCGAGCATGCCACCACCCTTACCGGTGAAAGCAGCTCCAACACAACCACCTGCAAAACCTTCACCACCGAAGGTTCCACCTCCAAAGGTGCCTCCTCCAAAAGTTCCGCCGCCAGATATTTCCAGCACCACCAGCGGCATACCGGCAAATACTCGGCCACCAGATTTCAATCTCACGCCGAAGCCACCGCCGCTTACAGACCTATACAATCGGTTGCAACCTTCCGTAAAAGGAAAGGGCAAACAGCAGGCGAGCCAACGTGGAGGACCCTATGGTTCACAGCAATGGAATTTACAGAATGTATCGCCACCACCGTTGCCTTCAGGAGTTCCGTCGACAGCGGCATCATCCTCCAATGCTCCCATAACTGGGCAGCCAACAGTGTATGGAACGGATGATCGACCATTAGAGCCCTTTGATTTTCCTGGGGTACAATGGCAGCGCACTGACCCATGGGCTGAAAATTACTGGCCCAATCACATGGAACTTCGACAGTGGATGCAGCAGGGATGGCATGATGAAACGGAGCGTTTTGGATATCGACATTATTGAAAATATGTTGAACTGCTACCATAACTGGTATGACGAACGGCGCATGAGTGTTGAGATAAAGATCACCTTCTGACGCGCTGTGAGATGATGTTTCACTTCATTGTCTCACCGGATATTGCATCCTTAACCGGATTGCCCCAGTCGGAGAGTGAACTTTTAATCAATGCTCTACTTAGAACTGGGTTAAGCATGCTTAATCACATGCCGAGTGAGCCGGAAGGTCGTACATTAGGGTAGCTACGTCCTCTCTGTATAGTGCATGCACGAGCTTGATGAGGGATTTCTAATATGATTCCTTCGTCGCTAGAATTCAGTCCTCCCCGAGATTTTCCCTACGGGTAGCTCCTTGTAAAGGGGGGTGTTGAAATTCACCTCATCCCTATGGACCCCGCAGCGTGTACTCTCAAGGTAGAGCAAAAGGGACGCTTAACGGCTAGTCAGGGTTAGCTAGGGAAGTAGAGCTGATCCTGTAAAATACAGCTTTGCTTAGGCCAGGGCCCCACCGAACGAATTCGTGTATTGGGTACGCTTTGCATGGCTTTGTCTTGTTTGGGACAACGGTGCCGGAGTGGAACAAGTGGGTTGGTCGGTGGCGGAGTGGAACCACATCGTGTGGCCCACACGAATCGTGCAACCACTTGAGAAGGATTCCCACATCCCACCGTGTGCACCGTTGCTTGCAAATATGAATCTCCTCAACTGTAACGTCAACTCAGGATTAGTAAACCTCCCCTAGTCAAGAAGAAAACCCAAACAGGATCGAACATTCATCCAAATTTAATGTATTATTCACTACCTCACTTACTACTACTACTACTACTACTCCTCCTCCTGCTGCTGCTGCTGCTGCTGCTGCTGTGCTGCTGTCCAACAGTCCAACAGTCCACAATATTCATTGCAAATGTGCCCTCCAATTCTCAAAATGACAGAACCCATGGTCTGGCGGTACTTCTCCCAGTCTCAGGTACGCTTATCGAGCATCTCGGCTGGTGGAGACTTTGCTTTGGTTCACTTTGCTGGAACGTGTGCGTGGAGGGTGGCAGGTGTTGAGTTGTGATGCGGTCGTGGGTCAAAACATCTCAACATCTACTGTGGACCACTGACTGAACGCCCACAAATAATAAACAGAAGTGCTGCTAATGGCTGTGGGGGTTTCGTCTTGACGAGAGAGGAAACTGTATGTTGTCGTGAGCTTCTCCCTTTAGGGGTTTCGGACCTCGGTACTTCAGTACTTCCACCGGCATCGGCACCTGGCACGAGGAACGCCTGCAAACGCAAACGTGTTGGCTCCAGAGCTGGCTCCAAACTCAGGTCGCGGAGGGGATTCCGAACCTGCAGCCCGGACAGGGTGTCGAGTTGCAGTGGAAGATGCAGCAAGGACCCTCGGATGTTCTTCTTACATTTTCTTGCAACATGTTTTGTGTTGAAACTTTTCCGGAGAAAAAGGGGAGTCAAAATCCTGATGAGGAGTCAGGAGTCTGACTTCCTCTGAATGCTTCGTTGGTTCCTTCATGTTCCTTCCGTGCCGAACGGGTCCAAACCCTCCCACCGGTCGCGGAGCGCCATCGAACCAACCACCGGCGCAGGAAGTCCGTTTGGTTGGTGGTTTGGCACCGTCGAGGCCCTTGAGCGCGACGCAGGCGCGGGAGAGCCGAGCCGAGCACCTTGGCGGTTCGTTGTCCCCCTGTTTGGCCAAAAGCTTAGCTGAACTCCTAGTAGCTTCTTGTTCCTAGTAGTACGGCCAAAAACCCCTAGTAGCATCCTTGCTCCTAGTAGCGATGCCAGGAGCCCCTAGTAGCGTCCGCCTGGCTGGCGTGTCAGGTGGCTCCCGGGCACGTGTCACGATGATCTTCGACCACTTCCCGAGCACGTCGCGGTGGCGCCGCCTGCAGATCGTGGTCGGCGACGGCGTGGTGCGCCAGTGCGCCATCGGAGGATGGCACGGGGGCGTGCGCGCGGTGACGGAGGCAGAGAAGCGGGAGTGGGCAGCTTGGTGTCGCAAGGGCGGGAAGTGAGGTTGCTGCAGACCGTTTCGGAGGAGTGTATATATATATATATATATGTACTAACGATCTGATTTGAAGGTCTGGCCTCGGAATGGTCTCTTTCTTATCGGGACTTCAACGCAAAGTCGAGAGAGAGGCGGGGGGAGGTAGAGGTTGGAGAGGCGTTGATGTTTCTTTCACCATCGACCGCCAGCTGCTGAGGCCAAGTTCTTCCCCAAGGAGCCAGTGATTTTCTGATCTCCCCTTAGTTGCATATGACTGGTGCGGTGTTGCGCCACACCCGGAGGTAGCTTAACTCTGGGTGGCGTCTTAGGGAACACCGGCACATTTTTCTGGATGCAGAATGGCCACTCGTGGCCTGGAGAGGTTCTGGGTCGACACACTTGTCGACAGCATGGGGTGTTTTGGCCCAGCCCTCCCGGCAGCATGGCACAATGCTTCTTGCCATGCCTTCTTCTCACCGACTCGGCAGGCCTTTGAACTGCCGCGTCCCGTGTACACAGCACAGGGCGCCAAAAAGCCTTGCTCCGCCAGTGCCGAAGAGAACCGAAACGAGCGTCCGCAACGAGCCGTTGGGCCAGAGAAGATGATTCAGTGGCTGTTGGAGCGGCTCTTTGGTGCAAATCTTTTCCAGAAGAAATCACGTTTGGTGGTTTCACCTGGCTTCCAGAGGCTGTGCCCAGAAAACCGCACAGCCCTGGTTTTTTTCAGGCAAAGCCTGAAAGATGATCAACTCTGAACCCCGCGAAAGCCGAGGGCTTTTGGAAAAATGTTTGCCCATCTTAGATGCTGAATCTCCCAAGTCTTTGGTGCTTTGGCGGTTGAAGGTTCCTTTGTGATACAGAGGGGGGCAGAGAGAGAGAGAGAGAGAGGAGATAGATGCTGAGATTGTTGCACCTTTTTCCTCCTTTTGGCACCCGAGTCTCGTGGTCAGTTTCGGCCCAATGTGCATATGTCGTGAGCGCGCGGAGCTCTTGAGCACGCGGTGAGTTCGGGTCCGGGAGCCGAAACGATGCCCGGCACGCGTTTGGGAAAGGGCTTTCTTTGAGTCCAGGGCGGGGGGGGGGGAGAATCGGGTAGAACTACCATTTTGGGTGCGGGTGTGACACTGTGACATAAGAAGGGCTTTTTAAGGAAGTCCTGTGCTCTTCCAGGCTCCGGTTGTCACCGGCCGCGCACTGCCCCACCCCGGCCTGGTCACCCAGGTGTGGCAACGACCTGACGGAACCATGCCGGGCAGCCCAAGCAGAAGCTCGCAGGGTTTCGGTACGCCGTGGGGGTCGCAACAGACCATGCTCAGCAGGAACCTCTACTGAGTAAGTACCGAGTACTGCTGAGTCTGTTGGCCAGAAAATACACGCAAACAGAACTGGTTCGGTCGTTTCATCAGCAACGAATTCCTGGTCGTTGTTGATGGCAAACACTGTAGATTCCATGCGATCAGCGCTCTTGGCGCGCCCTGTCGAAGCACTTTTTAAAGAAGCATGACGAAAGGTCTTGAAAGAAGCCAACAACATAGGAGGGACACCCAACCACTGCAGACAAGACAGGTTCAATGCATCATGGCAGTTGACAGTTGCGCTCCCCGCTTCAATTGCATCTAGTCCAGCAATGACGTTTTGAATCAGAGTTGGTGCAGGCTTTCTTTGCAGCTTTTCAATCGCGAGGACGGGGTTCTTCATCCGTCCAAGTTGTCTGAGGCCCAAGAATTTGGGCTACTCCAAGCTTTCGCCTGGCGGGCTGCCTCCGATTGTAAGGCTTGGGTTAAAAAGGGCTTGGCTTTCCCTACCTGGGAGTCTCATGCACCCCTTTTGAGCTGATTCTTTCTCTGTGGCACTAAGCGACCAAGTCCTCCAACATCATCAAAAAAGTCGAAACCAATTGGATCCATTTTCAACCTGATTATTTTGGGCCTCCAGTCGACTACGTTACATTATTACCCTTTTTGTTTGGGTCATTTTTGTGAGCATGTAGATGTCGAACATCCGTGGGTCCAAGACAGCAACTCCATGGTTGATCCCAAGCAGACGTGCTCCGTCAATCGGCACGGCACCGGTCGCTCCATGCCGCCGAGAGTGCTGAAGCTGGCTCCTCGGTCGGTTCCGCCGAGGTGGTTTGGTTCACTAAGGGCTTTTCATGACCGATTCTGAGGTAGCAGATCCACAGGTTTCAAAACCAGGTAGGTGAAATGCCTGCGAATGCCTGCATATGTCCCATGGTCACCCGAAACAGAAGGATAGGAAAGGTCACTCGCGTACTGCAGACCGACGTGGCAGGCCCGGTCTTAAGCAGTTCGGCCAGTTCAGTGAATTGAAAGATGTGCATTCCCAGGCCGCCTGACAACCTGTCCGTGCTTCAGACTTCAGCCGTGCAGCTTCAAGGAGGTTTTGGCCACGCCACAGCCAACCCGAAGGGCAAGTAGCAAGCAGTTACCTTCCAATCATTCCAATCCATGTCTGGCTGGATTCCGGTGCTCCTCCACTGGCGGGCGGGCGCGCTTCTTTTTTCCCACAGCTCGGCGTAGCTAGTGGACTGAGGCTGGGCCAGATGCCCAAGACGAGGGCCGGACAATGGAATGTGGGTCGGGGCGCTTGGCTGCCGAGGCATGAGGAAAACAGATGAAAACAGCATACACAAATATGTTAATTATTAAATACACATACACACAACACACACACATATACTATATATATATAATATATGTATACATGTAGGCATATATCGTTTCATGGAGGCATCGTTTTTTCTGTATGTTCCAGGAATCTGCAGATACACCGTACTTTTGGTGAAAATCTGAGCGCTCCACGGTCCAGGACTGTCTCACGGTCCATCGCATGCGCACCCCACGGGTCCCATTGCGCCAGTCGCAAGAGGCCATGTGTCTGAGGCCATGATGCCTTCTCCTCCGCCTCGGTTTGGCTGGAGAACGTGGCCCGCCAGGGGAAGCGTCCGGGCGCCCCAGAGTCGCCCAGCAGGTCGACACGAAAATGGAAAGGATACCAAACTGCAGATTGAGAGGGATTGTGCATTTGATCCGGAAGATGGGTGAGTCAGACAGCCGGAATTGTTGGACTCATTTGACACGTGCCTCACTCGATTTGGGTTCGTGTAGGGTGATCCCCCATGTCCAGACAGCCACCCGGTCCGCCCGGTCCGACCGTCGTCCGACCGAAACGCGGTCGTTCGAACGGACGAGCCGTCGCCAGGTGTGGGGGACCGCCAGACCGCCGAGCCTGTGGTCTACAAGGGTGATATGCTGGGGGTGCCCAGGAGGGTGAGTTGTGACACGTGGTGCTCCACCGCGAAAGGTTTCGAACTGGGGGGAGGCATGGAAAACCCGAGCTGGCCCGAACTGGTCCCCCTTCCACTCGTAGTCCCTACTGTCCCATATGCATGAAGTCCATTTCCAAGCAATGCTTGGATGCTTGGATCAGCTCAGGACACTGAAGGAGTTTAAGAAGATGAAGGAGCCAGTGAGGCCGGCGCATCCTTCCAGATGGTTGGCCCTTTTGCGTCCAAGTATCTCAGTACGACAAGTCGGCTGTATTTGTAGATGGTTGGGGTTGGCAAGCAAGTCTCTCGTGACCGGTAAGTACCCACCGCAACTGCGTCATGGTGGCGGCGGCGGCGGTGGAGGTGTCTGAACGGAAGTAGCAGTCCCGAGGTACGACATTGCTTTAATACTAGTCACTATCCAGCGGTCGGTGTGACCAACCTAGCAGGCGCCTCATCGCCAATGCCGGCGCCTTGCCGGCGCGGAAGTTGGTGAAGGTCCAGGATGACCAGGCAGGAGACGAGTGAGTGAATGAGCCTGGGGTGGTCCGATCCATGATGTGTATAAGTTGGGTCCGCCCTATTATATACTCGTAACAGTCAGTAAACAATTATATATCTTTATTTTTGAGCAAGGCCTTTTTTAAGTCAGACCCACGGTGCTACACGCATGCCTTTCTCAGCGTTGTATTCCATGGCCTATGTTTTATGTTATATTGTATGTGCCTGTCCAGGAAGGGTGAAGCTTCTGAGATTCCCACTCATGACAGCAGGCGCTCTTCGAACCTCTCAGCAAGGACTGCCGATCGATGATAGCACCGCTGATGCTGTCGGATGGTTTGTGGTCGACCGGCCGGGATGACTGTCAGGAGGAGCGGGACATGAAGGTCATCCTTCAGATGATCAGTGAGAAAGCAGCGCAGAGGCGGAGAGTGAGTGATGTCGTTTGGGGAGGAGGTTGGAGCCAAGAGCGAGGCCGACGGAATTTTCCAACCCAAGTTGCTGGTTGAACCTGGTTGGGTCACCAAGCCTCTGGTGTAAGAATCTTTTTCTGGTGGTCACATCAAGAAGAGTGCAGACATTCAGGCTTATGTCAGAACCGAACCAATCAGGCGAACATGCCATACGCCACATGGAGACGCCCGGTCGAGACTGGGGTGTTTTGCTGAGACAAGGCAACCATGTAAGCCATAGGCAGATAGGCAAAAGTTTGACAAATAGACTGGATAGACGCAAAACAAACAACATAGATAGACAAATAAACATAAATCAACAATAGACTAGATAAACACTGAGAAGGAAAGAGCTAGATCAGGGCTCTTCATTTGGACATCTCCCATGCCGGTTCTCTATGGCGCGGTGTCCGGTTCTCTATGGCCCAAAGATGCAGAGGCTTGGGGCTGGAATCAGTGCAATTGGGATCAAGCTGAGGTCGTGCGGCTGGTTCACCTGGGAGTTGAGAGCTACTTGTTGCCCATCTCCTGGCCCCTCGCTCCACGCCCCGAAGAGAAGGACCGGCCGAGCCGCCACCGCCGGCCGGGCCACGGGCCACACACCCGGCGCGAGCGCCGGCGTGGAGACGGCTGCTACCGGGATCCGGTGGAGTCGCTGCGGCAGCGGGTGGAGATGTTGCTGCGACAGGAGGTGGAGCCTGTGTTGGCCTTGGACTTTGGGAGGTTAGGCTTGGAGCGATCCGTCGAGGAGGAGGTGAAAGATCTGGTGCAGCTCTTCCCACAGGCGCTTCGGTGGGAAAATGAACTTGCGTTGAAGGAACATGTCCAAAAAAAGTGGGTCAGGTATTCCGTGGCAACCGTAGTGAGTGAGCATGCATTCTTTAAATCAGTGAATTGAGCACCGCAATCAGCCTTGAAGCTCTCTGACAGGTGCGTCGCTGGGTCACGCTGTTAGAGCCCTGGAGGGTGCTGCAAGAAGGGTCACACGTGAGACGCCGCTGGACGGATTCCGCGAACGCATCGGGGCGATTTCAACGAGCGCTGCAGGGACACCGGGCGGTTCAAGAGACTTGGCTCGGCTCTTTGGAACTTTTTCATGTGCTGCGCTCATCATGGGCAGATGACTTTAGATGGGAGGGGGAGGGCCTTTTCTTTTTGGATCCCAAGAGCCATCTCCACTTCCGTGTGATGTGTTGGTCAAAGGTGTGTTTCACGGACATCAGACCTCGTGCCTGTCAGCAGATCGTTCACGGACCTCGTCCAGTGTCAGGAGATCTTCCAGAAGTCGGATGCTGAGGCTGATGGGGCTCGCTGCTTGGGCCTCTTGCTTTCCCTTGACTGGCTGGAGCCCGGTGGATCTGGAGCAGAGAGCCATCCACAAAGACGAGCACAGCTTGAGCACGCGTCCCAGGAGATCATGAGGCGGCAAGTGGCTTTGGTGTTGGAGGCCTTGGGCGGAGACCGGACCACTCTGGGTGAGAGCATGGTCATGCTGCTCCCTCGGCATGCTGGACGGGTCCATTGGACCGACGGTGTGGAGATCGTCTACACCGATCTGAGCTTCACCGCGCACGTGCACCTCGCCGCTTGGTTCCGCGCAGAGTGCGGAGCCGGAGAAGTACATTTGATCGCTGATAATATGCAGGCCTCTCAGGTTCGGAAGGGGATACGGCACAGTCAGAAGGCCATTGATCATCCATTTTCGGGCTTTTGGGTGCACGAGAAGGATGCAGTAAGGTGGGGAGGCTCTGACAGTTTCGCAACTTGGGAGCATGGAGTCGCAGATGATCTGCAAACACAGATGAACAAGCTGAAGAGCTGTGACGTCTTTTCTTTTCTGGTGGCTCTTAGCTCCTTGGACTGCCTTCCTGCTGCCCTGCCGGCCCTGCACCATGCGCGTGATGCCTCGCCCGGCCCGATGCCGCCGGACACCGCCGGGCACAGCGTGCGTCCCGACGGCCGCCAGGCGCGGTGGGACCGGACGCTCACAGCCGCGGTGAACCGGCGGCGCGCCCGGGGCGCGCGCACGGGCGAAGGCAGCGTGGAGGTGTTGAGTGTGTGTGATGTGGTGGCCCAGGTGTTGCTGTCCTGGCGGCGACACTTGCGTGACCAGAGAAGTTGGCACCTTCCAACGATCCACGCGTGTTTGGAAGCTGTGCTGATTTTACGGCAGAAGGAGTCCACGCCCGACCATGCGTGGTGTGAGAAGGCCTGCCGGGCCGTACAAAGCTCCAAGGAGAACTTGTGCGAGAGCCTCCCTCCCCTCCTGGCGATCAAGACGGAGAAAGGAGGTGCTGGAGATGTAGACCGCGAGGTGCAGACCGCGGCACTGGCCGCCCTATGCATCGTTGTCAGGCAAGCTGCCAGATGGCCCGCCGAAAAGGGACTGCAGATCGACATGACTTGAATCACACCTCTGGTGATGGAAATGGCTCACTGAGTAAGACTCCAATTCTAGTAACACCTCATGAGCTTCACGCTCCCCCACAGTATATACATCCTGAGATGCCACAGTGTCTCCAGTGGCTTTCCACACAAATTCTACTGTACTTCTTCCTCAGTCTTCACTTTTTCGGAGTTACGCAAGCGACCGGTTCAAATGGCTCACAAGGGTCTCACGAGGGTCTCACGAGGATCTCTAAGATTAGACCGATGGAGACCTCTGCAGCGGTCTTCTGTAGCCCCAAGGATTCTGGCAGGATTGTGTCAATCAGCGTGATTCGATATGATCAGTCATTCTCGTTATAATATAGCGATTTCCTTCCATTCAGTGCGTGCTTCAACGTCACGTTCTTTCAACTTTCAACGTCACGTTTTGCTGTGGGGAGTTCAGCTGACAAAGCTGTGAAGTCGTGCTCTGTCCTGCCAGGTTTGGCTCCATCCGAGACGCCCTGCGGCACCTGGACGCCGATTGCGATGGCAGCGTGGACCGGGGTGAGGCGGGTGGCAGGTGGAAGTTGGGAGGTCGATCAGGTGCATCGACTGATGGGGATGGGAAGCTCAATTAGGCAGAAGCGGTCAATTGCCTGCGGCGGGAACGATTTTTTTCCAATTGTTTTCTTGCGTTTTCTAGCGGGACAACGAAGAGGATGGCTGGCTGGCGCAGGGGTGGCTGACTATTCTCACCATTGACACTTTCGTTATTTTATTTGGCCCACTTCAGCCGTTCATCCGTCAAATCAGCTTGGTCACGTGACTGGACCTGGCCGCCGTGGGAAGGCCATGGCGTGAGGACTGGGCGTTTTTCGCATCACGCGGCGACCTGAAAACTCGGCGATTCCCCTCGTTCTGTTGATTGTTGGGCTGATGCAGCAGAAAAGGACCTTTTGTCAGATGTTATTTCCGACATGAGTTTCTCTCAAGGTGGAGCACCTGGTCGGTGGATCTTCCCACCTGGCACCCAGAACATTCATTCCCCAAAACCTCAAGGGACCTGGAGAAGCGGTCGAGATGAGATGAGCCTACAGTATGCAAGCTGCGTTTGGTCCGCTGGTGGGTTGAAGGACAGGTGGCAGCATGGGTGCTCTTGGAAGACAAGCGGGAGGCCACTGCTTTGCGTTTTGCATATCGTCTAATTCTTGTGTTCGTTTGCTCGCGGCAGCATCTGCTTGTGCAAAAAGACATCTTCTGGACAATTGATGCTTTCTCCCAGCACTGTTTGGTCTTTGAACAGTTTCTCGCCAGTTTGCCACCGCTCAGACTCCTTTGCTTTGATGCATTGGGCCGCCACCAGGTTCATGACCACACGAGCTGCTGCTCGACATGCCGTCCGGTCTCAGTACTTCTTTGTGGCCAACGATGAGGAGGCTTTCTCGGCCCCTTGGAATGTGAAAAGATCTATATATAGTGATCCCCGATCCCCAAATAGATAGAACCGGTTTACAATACATTTTTAGTTGGGAGTTGGGATTTGCCTTTCTATCTATTTGGCTGTATTATATGCTGTAAATGGGTTATCTTGTTCATGTATATATATATATATAGATTATATAGATGGTCCAGTCTTGGTATTCTTCCCGACCAAATGGAGTTGTTGCTGAGATGCCCATGTCCATCATGTGCGTGTGTGCTCGTTACAGGGTACCATAATACATCCTTGTCGCATGATTCTGGACACAATCTGAAGTGCTTTGGTCCGGTGTAGAACATGGTAGGTAGAACATCATTATCATCATTTGAGGACTTTATGGATATCATGATATCATGTTGAGTTCCTGTAAAGAGAAGTCAGCAAAGGTAACGACTTGGAGCATGGACCCACTAGACATCATAGGCGCGAAGTTTCCTGAGGCAACGGCTTCTGACACTGGCACTTGGGGATCCGATGGCAGTCAAACCACTTGCTAGATTGTTTTTGGATCGGATCGGCATCATCCAAACCGACTACTGTTGCAATCATAGAAACATCACGGTCGTTGGTTGCGCAACAAGTCGACCTGCACTACACACAGTGACCCGTCGATGGATGGATCCTCCCCCGGTGATGCGTCACTGGTACCGCGGCACCGAGGTCTTCGGCCGCCAAGAGGTGCAGGACATCAATCCCATCCGCCAGGCGTGGACGAAACGGCCGGTCGTTCGGTGTTTCAGATGCAAGGACGCTACTAGTAATAGCTCCTGGCCTTAATACTAGGAGCAAGAAGCTCCTAGGAGCAAAGGGCATCGCTACTAGGAGCAAAGACACTACTAGAAGCTAAATCTTTTTTGCCTCTGTAGCCTTCTGGAGGTGCACAGCTTTCTATTGGGATTACGTGGGCGATCATGCGCTTCTTTGCACTGTTTCCCCGCATCATTCCACATCCAGAGTAGAGCTATTCCGGCATGTTGTCACATCCAGGTCACTGATGTGGGTTATTTGATCCTGTTCTTGGCCGTGGCTCTTGGGATGTTCTGGTTGGATTCCTGTGCGCACTCTTTGGGGAATGTTTTGCGCCTGTCAGAGCCCATTGACTACAAAGGAAATCTCTGTGGCTATGATGAAGAGGCCACAGTGAAAACGAAGAAACGCTGTGTTCGTCGGCTTCATGGATTGGTTTGATATTATCGTATGAGTTGAAAAAAGGCCAGCGACATGGTCCAGGTTCTTCCCCCGGCGCTGCTCCCTCGCTTCCCCGCAGGTGAAGGGCAAGCCCTTGGGCTACCACCCCAATCCGTTCAACGACATGGTAATTTGTGTGTCCTCGTGTCCAGAGACGGCCACCGATGGCAGCTTCACCATGCCCGACGGCCCCATGGGCAAGGACTTCACGCGCCCAGCCTACCCATCGGCGAACATCTATGGGCAGCTTTGTTTGCCACTGGATCTCTCGTTGGCTCGGCTGATGATCTCGGTCAAGAGCGTGCAGACGGACACCGGTCCGCAGGTCTAGAGGTGATGCCGTGATTCCTGGGGTCCGACTGTGGGCCTTGTTGAAACGACTGTGGGTGCCTTGAATGGCCGCCATGAATCATCATGAATCATGAATCACCATCCCTGGCTATTTTTTTCGGAGAAATCCATTTCTCGGTTGGAATGAATCGGTAGGAGCCCATTGCCCATTGCGCCGTTTATTTGCAGTAGTTTGAACAAAACAGGGGGCCCTAACTATTGTTCTCCATTTGTCGTCGAAGACTGAGGAGCTCTACAAAGGCTTAGGGGTGATTTTCACCTCTGATGGCATCCTGGTGGTGCTGATCGTTCCCTTTGTGACCTCTGCGATCTACGTGGTCGCTTTATTCTACATCCCCACGGCGGCCACTGCGTTGGCCTTGTGCATCACGGGTGTGACCCTAGCCTTGCTTGGGGTTCTGATGGACCTGGACATTAATGTGATGATGGACATCCCCCTCTTCAAGGAGACCCATCCTCTCATGCCTCGATGGCTTGGCGCAGTCTTTCTTGTCTTTCTGTTTCTAGGGAGAGTCCTTACGCAAGGATCATTGCATGATGGGATAGCTGATGCAACTGACTATTCGTTCAACTGCCTATGACTTCTCTTGGACTACAAAAGCCGTGGCGCATCAAATGCCATGCTAGATTCCTAAATACTTCATAGACCCCTCCCCACTCCCCCACAGGCTTTTTCATTCAACCCTCTGAGGTTGATGGCCCATCCCTATTTCCGCTCCGGCTTCTACCTCGGAAGCCTGGTCTTCTTCTTGGCCCTTGCCAGCTCCATGTCGGACCTGACCCGCGCGCACGCGGTGTTCCGGGAGTGCGTGGCGGCGATCGGGGACCCCAATGTGCTGGTGACCATCTTCACCAGCATGGTCCTCTCGGTGATCCGGATCAGCTTCATCCTGCATGTTTGCAGGTGCCAAGAACCGGGTGGTGTGGAAGGGGACGGGTTTGTGGGGGGACGGGGGGAAGAACGTGAGGGACACTATACCAAAGCTGGGCGACCTGAAGTAGACTGCACCACGCAGTGAATCAGATCCCTATACGAACCGCGTGAGGAAAAAAAAGACAAACCATCCGCTTTCCCTCATTTTCCGCGGCTCTCTTTGGTTCAGTTCATGCTCAGGAGCCTCGCGCTGCTGATGAGCATCGTGACTCCGGTGGAGGTGGAATTGCAGCTCTTTGGGGAGATTCATTGGGTGCCCCGCACTGCGTGGTCGCCGTTCTTCCTCAGGGGTGCCTTTCCAGCGCAGAAACAAGCACGGGGGAGCGATGAGAGTAGCCTGCGCCGGCGTTTTGGGCTGGTTGGAGGGAGACGTGATTTAGATGTGCTGAGATTATTGCCGATGTGCTGTACAATGCTGTACATTGGTGACTGCTGGTCACTGCTAGTACGATGATTTGCCTTGCAGTTGGTGATTGACAAAGCCCACAAGTGGATCGTTCGACTTGGTCAGAGTGGCCGGGAGAATTCTTCAAACCTTGGGTGACCAGGATCGCCAGGATCCAACCACTCAAAAGTCACTCAGATCCCTGTTCCGATGATCTTTCTAACGTAGCTCAAACGGCATTCACACAAAGCGTCATGGTTGTGCAAGAAGAGTTCGTGACAATGACAATCAATTTGTCGTAAATGTCCAGTCTCCATCAAATGCACCCAGGATGGACAAGATTCTGCAGAATACTCCCAGAATGGGCAGGGAGTTGAACAGATTCTGCAAGTAGTGTAAGCTTCAGTTGGTGTTTGGTTCGACTTGCAAGCTCACATGACTAGATGACTTCCGTGATCCGATCGGCCTTACATGACTACTTGGTTGCAGTGTCAAGTTGTGACTTTGCTGTTGCAGAAGCCGGTGACTCACCTTGAGTGGCAGTCATATGGATACAAAGCCAAGGACACGCGGCCAAGCGCATGTCAAATGATGCAATGGATGATACGTTCTCGATATATTTGTCTCTTCTTGGTGTGAACTCCCTGGGTCGAAAAATACAGATATCTTCTCCAGCGAGTCATCGAACGATTTCAGCTCCTTTCACCCTCTAGCGAGGTGTTTTCTTCTACATGTTCGGCACCTTCTGGACCCTAGAGTTCTTGTCGTTCAGCAACAAGTACATCACCGCCCAGGCCGGTGAAATGGTTTGGCTGGCTGAAATGGTCCCGCGCATGGGACCTCCTTTCCCCAGAGAGAGAGAGGGTGGCCTAAACTTTTTTGAGTTCACCTCAAGTAGATGTCTTGTTACTACTAGTAACAAGTGCCACGCTAGTAGTAACAAGTGCCTTACTAGTAGTAACAAAAAGCTATTAGAATTAAAATAAAATTGAAAAACATTTAAATTAATAGCTTCTTGTTACTACTAGTAAGGCACCTCTTACTACTAGCGTGGCACTTGTTACTAGTAAAATATGTCACATGGATGGGCCTTCACCCGATTTCAGCGTGCATCATGCCGCTTTATCTCATGGTTGTCTGTCAGGCTTCGTACCGCACACGAGTGATACCGCGCGGCGAGCGGTCCCCGGTACCGCGTCGTCGACCGGTCTCTCCAGGTGCTTTGTGCCAATTACTTCCACCTGAAAGCGAGGAACCTGCAGATGCAGGAGATCAGCAGCGGCAGGTGAGGAACAGAGTGAACCACAGTGAACGCCCCAACATGTGCTGGGACATGTTGGGCTCCAAGCCAGCACATATTTGCCCAGAGTAGTTCTCTTGAAGTTCAGCCCTGCCAGAGAGAGCAGTCCTTTTTTTGTCATACAGCACCACGCGCTTTCCAACACTCCATGAATGCACAATCTTCAAGCGACGCTACACCCAGGCCGGCGCCCATCCGCTACGCCCTCTACTCAATGTTTCGAATCTTGACTGCCATGTTGCACAGATTTGAGGATATGCAGCGATATGCATTTTGTTGATCCAACAGCCCAACATATGGTTTTGCTTAGATGCGTTCGTATCACCCGTGGCAGTTCTTCTTGGATGAAGCCCGCCATGGGGATCCCGATTCCAACCTGTCGCGGTCCATCGGAAGCGCTGAGGATTTCACCTCGGAAGCATTGCCAAGGCCGCTTTGATGTCGGCTCCCTGCCGCCTGCTGCGCAGCTTGACGCCCGGCACCACGGTTGTGTAGCGGGTAGCTGCCTGCGGCGCGGCCCAGGGCGGCGATTCTGCGTTTCTGTGGGGGTCAGGATGGATAGGTTCTTTATGTTTTTTGGTGCGCCCCTTTGTTGATCTTTGTTGGCCCATTTGAGCGACATGCCGAGCTGGGCGCAGCTGTTGAGAAGCATCAGACGAAGAGCTTCCAGGAGCGCCTGTAAAGAATACCCCAAACCATTATGGGTTGCATCTTGGCACCGGTTCGATGCGCAGGCACCCGGGATGTTTTTGGGCTTAGCTGGTCGTCTTGCTTGAGACCTCTTCAGGATCGGCCTTTTTGTGCCCGACCGGCCCAACTTGGACAAGTCACTGAATCAGCAATATCGCCACCCAACTGCAGAAGTGCTATTTGGAGACCTCGGCTGACTTAGTAAGGGCCTGCAGGCCTCTCCGTGAAGATAGAGTGGGCCTAGTCACGTGTGCGCGGTCCCTTGTATCCTGCGCCGTGAACGAGGTATCGCCTACTACTTGTTCTGGCCACTCATCAAGATAGACCTCTACCTACTCCGATTCTACAAAGATAGCACCTCGTCCTGAGCGTTTGGGTTTTGTTGCCTGTAAGCATGGCTAGGGTTTTGTTGCCTTGCATATTGAGCCTGGCGTTTGGGAAAGCCTCGCATGTATTGTACGATTGCGTCATCTTGTCTTAGCCAGGCTTTCCCTTGCATTGCTTTGCTTTGCGTTGCCACTTAAAGCGTTGCACACAACGTTCCGTGCGAAGTCATTCATCGACTGGCTGGCTCGGCTAGGCGTTTTGGTGATGCTGGCCCTGAAGGGCTTCAAATACATGGACTCGGCCAGAAGGGTGGAGGGCCTCATCAACCGATCACGTGGGAAGATTCCCCACTTGACCAAGTTCACCTCGAGGACTTGGGCCTCCGTTTCTAGCAGAAACCGAGACGCCGTTTTGCACAGACACGTTTGATATGGAGTTCCTTGCGCAGTTTGGGATTCATTCCATGCCCTTGTCTCTAGCCTTATATAGTTACACAAGGACACAAAAGGTCCTTATGCCGCAACAGCACAGACCAGCACTCGAAGACAGGATTGAAACCTTCCTCAAGGTCAGCGTGGGACTCACCAGCATGATTTGGGCCTTCTTTCTTTTTCGTGAGCCACGACGCGGAGCCTATCACCAAGTGGAAGAACTCAAGTTGCCGCTGAGCTGCATTTTTCTTTAACCAAAAGACCAGCTGACCGTAACCAGGCTGATCTGGGGCGATCTGGGTTTGCTTCGATAGGCTCTAGTGTGTGGGTCCTGCCCTCCGGAATCCAATCTGAAGCTCAGACAAGAGCTCCTCCCTCAAATGGCGCATCCATTCAGGAAGGACTCCGTGGCCAACATGTTTGTGACCCCTCAGCACTCGCCTTTGCTGTCGATGCCGGTGCTCTTCTTCTTCGGCTTGTGGGTGGGAGATGGGATGTTACACCTGGTGACGATGGCCTCCAACGCCTTGACGATCTGCTATTGCATCGACGTGGAGATGGTGGGGGGCACTGAAACGGATGCGCTCTATGCGCCGCAGGGCCTGAAGTGCCTGAGCAGAAGGAGGAAGTCATTGGGGGTGTGTCTCACAGCATTTGCATCGTTTACGATGGGTGTAGGGGGGGCGATGGTTTTTCTTCAATTCCTACTTTGGATGTAAACACTGAGCTCCTCAGCCTTGCTCCCAAAAAGATTCGGCTCACAAAGGCCACCTATTTCAGCACACTGCCCGTAGTACCTGAGTCTTTTGGCTGCTTCGCACCTATTTCGCGTCTGCCAGGTTGGTCTATCGGGATCTGGGCGGCGGGGAGTCCGAGCGCGAGCTCGCGGAGCTGATGGCGAACAATGCCATTGTGCAGTGAGATCGAGTGGTGCCAGCACTGCGGCGCCGCCGCGTGCGAGCAGCGCGCCAGCGCGGGTCCGGTCCAGAGTGGGGAGAAGCAGAATGGGGGACCAAGGATTTGACAGACGCCACAAGGAGCTGAAGCTGAAGCGACATTTGGAGATCGATTGGAACGAAGTGGGGGGGTGAGGAGCACCGAACACGCAGGTGCCGACCAGATGAGTACTCAGATGGTCCCTTTGGCTGCGTCTACGTCGGAGCCAGGATGGACAAAGGAGCCTGGCACAGCTGCGAGACGTGACAGGGTGGATGGTGTGGACTCAAGACGTGAGCAGGAATAGGCTGCGCTCCTCCAGTTGCGCTCCTCTCAGTTCTTCGTCGTTCGTCATACTCTTCAGCTCTAAGAACTTACGCCGGACATCGGCAATCCCAGAATCAAGCGATTCACCACAGTTCAACTGGGGAAGGGCCAGCTTTGCCCAACAACACCCGGTCAATGGGACACCCAACAGTGCAAAGCAGTGGGTTGGATGGTTAGCTGTTGTGCCTGATCTTGTGAGTCAAAAGGTGTGGGGCACCAGAAGCGGTTAATCGCCTCAAAGAACTATAGTGACTTCAAGGTTGATGGGGAACAAATCCGAGTTCAAATGCCACTTGGACCATGCTGTAATGAGGATGGTTTCTGCAACCTATCTTGGTTCATATAGCGGGTTGTTGGAGCAAGCCCAAGTGCCTTGAAGGGAATGGCGGACAGGTTCGGTACTTCTTCCGCAGCTACAACGTCCCCGAGGAGATCGCGGATAAGTTCTTCGATTTCCTCGACGAGGAGACATGATTCGTCGCCGCACCCGAACTGTGGCAAAGACAGGTGTGGGCTAAATCCGCATTGGTGGTGCGCTATAGAGGCCCAAGAAGCCGTTTCCCTTTTTCAGGGGTCGGTGTCGCGGTCGCATGGAATAGCATAAAGCGAAGGTTTCTTCAAGGTTATCTTGCGTGGGAAGAGGGCAATGGTACACACTGTTTGGCAGGCAACTAGGTGAGGTATTGGTCGGCATTTGTAGCTCAAAGCGTCCTTGCTTTTGATCTGGAACATCGGACCTGCACTGGCAGAATGCTAGAGAAGCGAAATCAGACCATCCAGGAAAAGAGAGGTGAGCTAGACTATGGCAGGGTGGCCGGCCCCTCAGAAAGATGAGAAGACCCGTGGACAGTGTTACTGCAGCTTCCGAGAGAGAAAGATGTTTTACAAAGCAGGGATCCCAGTCAACACTTCCGCTTTGCACTCAGGGCACTGCTTCCCTCAATCATGATGTCGCATTTATATATACCAACAGAAGACCATGCCCCCCCCAACAGCAGTTGGGCCACTTGTTATTGAACGATTGTGGAGAGACAAGGCCAACATCCTTTCCCGAACATCGTTCTGCTGCAGAACCAGGGAAACCAAGCACATGGAATGGAAGAAGGGCTTTGAAGCTACACTTCCTGCGATGCATTCGCCCGTTGAGGTGAACTTCCTGCGACCTTTCCTGGAGGGCGCCATTAACGGTACCCCCTTGACGGCGCGTGGGGTGTCCTGGACATCGATGCAAAGTGCTAAACAGGCACCGAAGAAAGCCTCAACTCCTCATGTGCCTCATGTGCCCATTCCGCACCAAACTCCCCGGTCATCTCGCTGCCCTCCTGGCCCAGGTGACTTGACCAAGGGCAAAGGCGCGTAGGGGCCCCAGGGCAGGCCGCCGGGCACCGTGTGTCGACCGAAGCCTTGTGGACCTAAAGCCTTCAGTGGATGGGATACCCATGGATACCCATTCATTGGTATGCAAGTTTTGGGCATCTAAATGTCAGGAGCCCAATATTTGGTTTGGAGCACTTTCTGTCTGTGCCGTAGACAAAAGCTCAGTCACTTGGCTGATTTTCTGGAATAGGGGGCGAGGAGCCATTTTTGGGTGCGCCTCCTAGCAGATGTGTATGGTGGGACTGTTTGCAACACAAATGAGGGCCTTGCCCCACCGACTTTTTCTATCTTTTTCTGGGTCCTTCACTGAGGCCCGACTACTTGCTGGAGGAAATGCTCGATGCGACCGACGAGGGTGAGACCAGGTCGCCGAGTCGCTTGCTGTCGCCGCGGTCCACAGAACCGAAGCCACTCTGCCCGGTCAGCGGCGGTCAGGTTAGCGCTGTTTGACCACCAATTCGAGGTTGGGCTGGGGGCATTTGTGAGCTCGTGGGATGATGAGGTGGGCAATTATGACATATTATTACGATTTTTGAGCAAGGCCTTTACTAACCATCATCATCCACTGTTACAGGTATTAGGATAGACCCAAGGCCTCCCTTCATTCATCTTAAGAGCCTCTTTTAAGATTTGCCGAATGTGACTGGTCAGCCTGCAGCAGCTCCGATCTATGCACCATGTGCAGTGGTGCGTGTTTGCCGCCACCAGGCCCTGACAGCTTCCGACTACTAGGGGCTTCTGGCATCGCCACTAGTAGCAAGAAGCTACTAGGAGCTCCTGGCCTTACCACTAGGAGCAAGGACGCTACTAGGGGCGCATCCACTAGTAACTTCTTGTTACTAGTGGCAAGAATGCTCCTAGTAGCGATGCCAGGAGCCCCTAGCAGCGTCCTTGCTCCTAGTAGTACGGCCAGGAGCCCCTAGTAGCTTCTTGTTACCACTTCAAGAAGCATCCCCCTCAAAGGCTTAGAGTCCTAGAGGCTTCTCTCTTTTGGGGAGCAGACCGTGCAGGCCACCCTGCGGTTGCTGGCTCAGAAAGCCCTCGCCTCAGACCCGCCAAAAAGAGGTGGAGGAGATTATGCTCTTTCTGAGGAGCTATGCTGTCCAGTGCATTGTGCTCCTGTCATATCTCACAGAGCAAAGGGCCGGGCACAGAAAATTGGATGGTGATCCGAGCTGCTCGGCCTGTGTTCGGCCCTTTTCAGGTCATTGATCGCTTCGGGACCACAGCAGCCGCCTTTCGTTTCGTTGTGGGGGTGCCCGGGCGATGCGGCGTTTGGAGCCTCCCAATGGCTCCGCCCAGTGGTACCATGCACGCATGCTCCTGCGAATGCAACGAGATCAGGAGGAATGCACATGGTCAGAATGCAGCTAGATCAGGAGGACATGAGTGGCATTCTCCTGTCCGACTCGTTCCGGTTGCGCGCCACGAGTTTCGGCGGAATGACCTCCGTGGGCGAAGCCGAGATCTTGAGAGCAGGAACGCCTCATTCTCCCGGCTAAGGATTTGGATCGGAATGGCATCATGACGAGGTGGCGACCTGACCAAACTCCACTGGCAGGGGTTGGAGGATGTGGAGGTTCATATCAGACTTGTTTGTTACCGCCACAGGAATGTTGGTCCTTGATGCAGGAATGTCCCTACTACCAGGTTACCCAAGACGCTGAAACTCGAGTTCTGATTGTGACCAGACTCGAGACGCTGATCCTTCATGACTCCCTTCCACACCAAAGGCGCCCTTCACCACTCTTGGGAGGCCGCCCCCCGACCCGGCAGGGCGCCGCGATCAGCGGAGCCGCCGCGCAGGAACGAGACCCGGTACCTGTTCCGCCTCGTGAACTTCCCAGAGGTGCCGAGTCCCGAGTCCCGGGTCCGGTCACCGGTGAGGTATGGCCAGCAAGGGCTTCGGGGCTTCTGGGCTAGGCACATTAAAAAACACTTGTATATTTTACGATTCACACACGCACAAAGACACACACACACATATATATATATAAATACATAGAGAGAGATCATCGTGAACTATATATATAAAATGTGATAGTCAATAGTTTTATGATAATAGGAAATCAAGCTATATCACATGAAGACATCATCAAGCTTTGGCTTGTTTTCTTGGTGGAGATTCGTGGGAGATGAAGTTCATTTTCGTAGAAGATCAGATCTGCCTCACCCGCCAGGACTTGGCGGACAAATTCCATGACTCCGTGGACACCAATGGGTCGGGGGAGATTTCGCTGCAGGATGGGTTTGGGTTGGATGGGAGCCGGAGGGCCCTAGTGACGTGGTGCGCCTTGAGAGGATTGGATGGCTTGTATTGGCTTGTGGTTCGCGGGTGTTGTGAGAGTTGATGAAACCCGAGCCTCACACAAACTTCCCAAGAATTCATCGCATCCTGGCCGAACTCCTCGCCAAATTTCCAGGAGTTTTATGCAAGTTTGGCACCCTATGTCGACATCCAGGCCCACCCGCTGGAGCAAAAGCAGAGCTTATTTCGATGTGAAGCATGGCGGTCAAGTTCCACCACAGTCACTTTAAAGCCCCAACAGGCAGACTTGGCCTTTTCGGCTCCGCGACAAAGGCATCCTTTCAGCTTCGAACCACCCAGATCCAAGTGGATTTGTGGATTGGGCCCCTGCACACCTCGTTGGTCGCACGCCGAACGACGGCACAGCACGGCGGAACGGCACGACGGCCGCAGGAACGCCCCGTGGCCAAACGGGAGGACGCCACGCCGCGAACGCGTGGGGCGCGCGAACGCGCGAGTGTGAGGAGGAAGACCCTCCAACCAGCGCTGGAAGACAAGACAGTGGTCAAGTGGGGTTTGCGAGAATCATCCCAATTGGTGTCGATTTGATGGTTCTGGTGCTTGTCTCAAGAGGCATCCGAGCACCATGTTGTCACCCACATCGATGAAGAACTTGTGGCAACCCTCGGGCCAATGCCTCAAGGACTCCGTACCTGCTCCCCTGTACATCCCGTGGCCCAGGGTCGTTGTGTCTGCCAGGATTTCGTGCTGAAGCCCGACACGCCAGAGCCGGGGCCCTCGATGGTGGGAAAGATCTTTCGTCAGAGGATTCTGGAGTTGCAAGGTCCAGGTCACCAAAAAACGCTTGGATTGAACCAGTTGCTGAGAGGATTCCCCCTGGCTTGGGTCGTAAGGGGCCACATATTTGCAATGCAAGGGCGCATGGCAGGATTAGGATCCAGGAAAGGACTTGCGAATGCAAAATCCTCTGAATGTATATCAGTGACCATCTCAAGAATCAAGTTCCTGCTTTCGTGCGCAAAATCTACGCCAATCCACCTTGGAGCCCTTCCACTTCTCTCTCTCTCTATATATACACATCTAGGTGTGGATTATTCTCCGCCACCAGCGGGTTTGCGTGTGAATTTTCCTGAGGGTACGCTTGGCACAAGCCTAGTGGGACTGAAAGCAGATGTCCGTTTGGCAGTCCAAGGGACCACGTACGCATGATCTTTCACACCAGGGCTGGAGTACATGGCACGACTCCCACAGTAAGGGCTCACCTGATATATTTCAGTCTACTCTCCTTCTGGCTGAAGTCTTCAGGACGATGGTCAGAGCATGTTCTTTGGACGAGCAGCCCACCCGCCCAGGACGCCAGATGAGGTCCCCTCCAGAGTCGCTGGGCTGGGGTAGAAAGAGGGTCTCAGGGTGGTGTGAGCGGATGTGCCTCACCCAAGTTTCAAGTCCAGTGTGGGTAACTCGTTTGAGGATGAAGGTGGTAGGTCCCAAGCAGCTTGGTGGTGAGAGAATGTGCTTCACCTATTGAAGCTGGGACATCACTAAGTGTAGCAGATTGGACATGTCCAAGTCATTGATCCGTGCTTTTTGATCGTGTCATTGGATTTTGGAAGATTGACAGAGGAGTAATGAAGACCACTTCGGACTTCTCATATTCGCCAATGCCCTCGTGTCCTGTCGTCGTCCATCGCGTCCCTCTCGCTCCCTTCGCAGATGGGGGGGCCCGAGGCGGTGAGCAAGGAGTGGACGAAGTTTGTGCAGAACTCCCAGCGAGTGGAGCTGCGTCGGCTGATGCAGGAGCGGCATCCGACCGTTCGACGGACCTGCGGGGCCGCGGGGGGGGGGGGGGGGGGGGCGATCTGGGGCCGACCTGCGCACGGTAAACCCAGGATGTGACGTGCGGTGTTGGGAGGCGGCGAGCATCAAAAAGGTTTTGGACCCTTGGTTTCCCTTCCAGTTTGTGCTATCAGCAGGCGCGAAGTATCGGTTAGCTCTGCTAGCACAACAACTGCACCAACTGGAAACACAGCGCTTGAAAAGGCACTCTCTCTCTCTCTCTACATGTTCTGGGGGTCACGGTCAGTGGATGCATCGGGGTGCGTTGTCTGCAAGGACATTGGTGACAAGCTGCAGCTGAAGTTCAAGCACGTGCGCGATGCATTCAAGCCCCTGAACCTCCAAAGGCCCCCTGCCGAGTCATCTCTCCGAGTTCGTTTCTTTTCGACGGGGTCCTACCCTGACGGAGAGCCGGATCGGATCCACAACTCACCGAGCCCACAACTCCGACGTCGTGCAGGAACGTTTGATGTTCATCGCACGACCTGGGGCTCCATGCGTGCTCATATAGATCTTTAATGAACAGTTTTGTACACGAATCGTTGACACAACTCAAGCCTGTCACCTGACCCGAAGCCTCCGGCTGCAGGCTGGGCCGCATCACCCGCGCGGAGATGCGAAGCTTCTTCCGGGGCTTCGGGCATCCGCAGGCGCGGACGCGACGGAACGCTCCGTGCAGGGACAGACGTCCAGATGTGGTGCGCAGTGCGAGCATGTAGGTTCTCAAGGGGTTGGTCCAAAAGTTATGGTTGCGACTCACCATGTAGGTTCTCACTAGACCTGGTTGGTCAATAGAGCCAGGCGCATGGAACGTTGGCACCTTCAGACCCCAGCCATGGTGACTCGGTGCCGTCCCAGGAAGTGGCCGACCGAGTCTACGACCTCCTCCAGGCGCGACCCGACCGTCACCACCCGAGCACCACCGAGCTTCCGAGCTCGGTGGAACGCAAAGTGGATGAGAGCAGTGGAAGGACTAGGAATGGCCTGGTTTTGCTTTGGACTTGGATTTTTGTTGTTGTTTTCTCTCTGCGGTTCCTCAAGCAAATCCAAGTAGGGGAACACCTGCCCTGCAGAAGCCTGCAGATCCACCACGCGGCCATGAAGCAACCAGGGATCTGGTCTTTCAAGATCAACACGCAACCCGCATGGTCCAACACTGCACATTTGTCCAGCGCTGTTCTTTGAGTCGTTTGGAGGTGCTCCTGAAAAGCAAATCTGGCAACGCCCTTCTGCAAAACCTGGCGAGGACAAGCGTGGGGAGGTGGAATACGCCGTCTTCATGTCTCACTTCGAATCAGTCCTGGGGCCCTGCGCTCAGTTGACAGTTGATCTGACAGGTCGTGGTCTGTAAGTCCTCAAGGTGGCGCCACCACCAGGGCCCAGTGAAAACACATGGCTCACTATTCATATAAGCCTGTGGCTCCATGAGCCCATGTGGCTCCATGAGCCCATTGGTTCCACCATGTTCCACCCTCCTCCTCGATCGCTTGCCCCTTGGGCGAGAGACACCTCGGCCCGGCTGAGGCGGGACTTTCGGCAGGTCTCCCAGCCGCCGATCCTGGAGATGGGGGACTTCTTAGCCAGCCGCGAGGTGTGTGCTTGCACAGCGCAGCATTCCACGTCGTCACCGGCCCACGTCGTCGGCCTGCAACAGGTGGACGGGACGATCGAAACCTTCAAGCCCGTGGGCCCTGGGGTGGGAGGTGGCTGGGCCGTTGCGGCCGTTGCATGGGTTTTGTGGAAGGAGAGCACGCTAAAGCGGAGGCAAGCTGTATTTGAGCTAGACTGTTCTGCTGTTCCACGCAGTGGGAGCCAACTGCATACGACTGGAGGTGACCAGGTGTTTAGCGAGTTTCGTGATGCAACTGACTGACTGGGCTTAACAGTATTTGACGACGATGTATTTACAGTATCTCGGTATTTTACAAGCTTGGCGCAGATAGCCAATGGCACACCCATGATCTCAACATTTGTGCGGGTGTGGCCGGATGTTTTCCAACCACACATCCACGATGTCCGGCGAAGTTTGCTTTATCCCGAAGATCCCTTTGACCTGCAGGTTGGCAGCGAGGTTTGCTCATAGGATGTTCAATGGTTGTGGCATATGTCTCAACACGAGTTGGCCCAGGCGTTTCTTGATCACCAAGTGCCGGAACCTGCAGGAGGCTGGGTTTCATTGCAGACCTTGCAGGGTTCGCATGGGTTCGTAGAAGAAGCTATTACCGGAGGACAGGGATTGACACAGGAAGTGTTGATTGAGGTTCTGAGAAGTCAACACCAGAACATTACTCAACAGCACCAGCAGATCGGTGGACAATACGCAGATAGCAGCAGTGACCTACAGTAATTGGTTGAGCTGGTGGCGAAGAGAAGCACGGCTTTGTCATTTCTCTCCGTAACGGATTGCTTCGCGCCTCAGTGATCTAGAATGGTTTGTCCAGCAGGGCCAAAATCCATTGCGATGCTGCGAAGTTCAATTCAAGCAACCCCCCCCCATAAGTGCCAGTAGCTTCAACACTGGCCTTCGTGGTTTTTATAGATCATCTATCCTGATTCGCAGTGGCCGTGGACCTGTTTGCGGATCATCTATCCTTCGTCGCCCCGGTGCGGGAAGCACCGAGGCCTACCGAGTCATCGACGGTGACAAGGATGGGAAGGCGCGGCCTGCGCAGCCGCGCGCGTGGTTCGGTGGGTTCGGTGGGCTCGCGTCGGGGGGGCATTGTAAGTAAGTCTCGCGACCCAGATCCAAAGCACAGGCGCCACTCCAGGCATCTTTCAGCTGCGAAGGCAGTTTGGATTTGAACATGATTTGCTGCACAGCCACCTGCCACGGGTGTAAATGCAAGATTTGCTGGGTCGGGGAGAGGTTGTGGCGTCACTTTACGTCTCAGCTGGGGAATCCCAGAAGCTCCAAGCCAAATCAGCAAGACCTCCCAAGCCTTTACTTCTCTTTCTCCCCTCCTCCCACGCCGCCCCGTGATTTGTTTTTGTTGCAACACTATAATATACACCGCTCGTACCAACGAAAACGTTGGATGTTCCGAACGGGATGCTGATCTTCCTTTTTTCTCCAGAATCCCGCCAAAAGATCCAAGCAGATCTGGTGTTGTTGTCATACTAGAACTTTTGGTATCAACAGGATGCATTCTTTCTCCAGAAGTTCTTCCCGTTTCGGACCCCGGCCACGCACCACCGGCCCCGCGCGACCACGCCCCGCGCCCGGCTCGGACCCACGACGCGACGGGCTCGGACTGGTCGTCAGGTCAGCCGCCAGGAGATGCGGCTCTTCGCGAAGCGGTGCCCCGGCGGAGGGGGTGCCCGCCGATCCACCGGCCCGTCAGGTCCAAAGCGAGGACGGACATCCAAGGAAAGAGGATCTCCTTGATCCATTTTGGGGATCAAAGGGGCTTTCCTTCCACATGTTCTCATCCACCCAATCCAGAGAGCTGTGTGTGGGTTTTTTCTCAGGTCTTTTCCAAGCGATCTTCTCCTTCCATCGGCAGATGCAAGCCTTGTAGCCTGCAGTAGCCTAATCAGTAGGTGTGCCATCTCAGATCCCCACCATCCCCAGCCCCACCTCCGCAAGGCTGGGCGTGCCGAGCGCGCGCGCCGACCAGCTGTTTGACGCGCTGGATGTGGAGGGCCTTGGCACCGGATCCCAGCGGGAATGGTGAGGGGATTCGTTGAAGCGAGGCGTTTTGGGACGTGGAAGTGGACGGCATGGACCCTGGAAGGACGACTTCGATTTTTCGCCTCTAGTAATCCATGTAATATCTAGATGGGACAGGGAGTGGCCGGTTCCACTTGCATGATTCCTTGAAGGGAGGGCAAAACACCTGCACGAACTCTAGAAGCTTGGCACAAAAACCACAAATCATTGGCATCTCAATCTCTATGCATGGGGTTTTGCTTGGCTTAAAAGGGTGTGGATGGAACGTTTGGTCGCTGATTCCTGCCGTGTTGTCCTGGGCAGTCTGACGGGACCTACCAGCTCCAGCTCGCACCTGCCCGCATGGAAGCCCCCTGCTGCTGAGATCTCCGGGCTTCGAACCACTCGGGTCCTTGCAATCGTTCATGGCTCAAAAGGCTCCGGAACCCGCCTGAGGTTCCATCAACTATTTGCAGCAAGGGCCTGAGGGCCTGATGGGCGCCATCATTCTCGGATGCCCGAACAAGAATCGAAGGCTTTCGAACGAGGTCATGAGCCATATGAGTCAGATGTCATGAGGCACGAGGACGGGTGAACCGTCGCTGAACTTGGTGGTCGGGTCATGGGACCGTGGGTCATGGCTAGAATTGTAGAACTGTCCAGGCTAATTGAGGTGCATTCTATGTGGTGGGCTTATAGTTTTGTACCTCAGATATATTGGAGAGGGGTTAGGAGGGAGCCCTGCAGGAAAAACAGTTACTGTAGGGGTGGGAGGGGTTGGAAGAGGAAGAGAGGATGAGAGATCGAGATAGAGAGGGCGGACTTCAGATGTATTTATATACACCCGCACCCGGGAAGATTAACATAGAATCTGAAAACCACTAGGTTGTAGAGTAAAGTAGTCTTCCAAAGGTTCCATGTTAATCTTCCTTGGTGTAATTTGGTTGAATTCTGCCTTTGGCGCCCGAGGTTCACGCGGCTCTTTCCTGAGACCTGGGAGCGGCCTGATCCAGGCACCGACAGTCTCGGCGGCGTGACGGTCGTGGCGGCGTTGCCTGGGGCATGTGGCGGAGGCCCGGAAATCAGGGCGGTTCATTTCATCCAGTGGTGCTATCACTGGATCTTTCCCAAGAAGCTGCTATCACTGGATCGGCACCCAACCTTTTCAGCTGCCGAGCGTCTACGGCGGTGGATCGGATGAACACAGGACTCTCAGACGGTGAGACGGTGAGGACCATGAGGCCTTGCTTGGGAATCGAGCACTCCAAAAGAAATCCCAGCACTCCCTGGACTCACCCTATGCCTTCCGGTGGATGGCATGGCCCCATTAGCCCAGTGCGATTTGTCCTCACCGGCGCTTTTGGTCGCTCAGGCGATGGTCCGACTGGTTTCGGGATGTTTCCGACCGAAAAAGCAGGGTTTGTTGAGTGTTTCCGGCTTCTGGACACCGCATCGATGGTATTTCCACCTGGTGTCCTGGTCTCCCCCCACCAAAAGAAGTGTCGATTTCGAAGCCCTTCTGATGATCATGAATCACTTTGCCAGGCCCAGCGGCTGCCTGGCCGACTCCTCGCGCCGGGAATTCTCTGAGGACGTGACGCCGAAACGGAAACCTCCACCGCGATGGTTTCAGCCTGCTTCGGCCCTTTCCGAAGGAAAAGGGTCGTTGAAGACGCCTGGTTCGTGCCTTCCCCAAATGGTCAGATGGAGAGCTCTGATGGCACTGAAATGGATGAACATGTTCGATGTCTTTCTTATTTTTTGTTGAGCCTCGCTCTTTCTTGACGATGATGGCAGAATTGGAGAAGTGTGATATTCGCGTAGATTCGCTTCGGTTGTGGCAGCTGATGATTGGATTGTGTCAGCTGCGGTCCGGAAGCTTGTTAACTTTCTACTCATCATAGTTTGGGATATCAGGGATATCAATGTGGTCATGGTGCTACACGGACTCGATTTTTTGACACCTCAGTACCTTAGCCCTTAGCGCCTTAGCTTGGCGCACGCGCAGACTGCGCGGTACGCGGCGCAGCGTGCTGCGTGCGTGTCTTCTGGAAGGGCCTGGCCTAAGGCCAGGCTTGGATTGTTTAGAGGACGCATGATAGGAACTGAACGAGAGGCTTCTCATGCGGCCGAAAGAAGGGCCCTCGATGCACTCTGAGCTTGATGCTAAGTGGGTCATTTGGCCAGGACACCACCATTTGATAACCTTGATGTTTACGAAATCTTGGCTTGACGTTGATGGTTCTCTTGAGGGCAAAAACCTGGAATCGCGGCATGACTTGCAACTCCTGTGCACCTCGGCGGACGATGCGCCTCTGGGCACCTGGCACACGTTGCGACCTCCACACCGGTCAGGCGATTTCGGCTGGTTGGGCAGTGCTTTGGGTTCAAGTGAGTGGCCTCCGGTGCCCGCCATGGGCATCCTCCGAGCATCTGAGTTGCACTTGTCTTTGGATCGCACTCCCCCCACACTGGACTAACCAGTCCCCTGCAAGCATTATGGGCATCCATCTTCTGTCCTCTACTGGACAATTTTTGGTTTAGTGGGACAAGTTCTAGGGAAAGTATATGAGTACAGTATAGGCAGATCAAGGTTGCCACACACAGAGTTGATCAAGATTTATGACTATATATAGTTATATATTTATAGTATTGGCATTGGGCCGGGCTAAAGTCACATGTTCGAAGAGTTGAAGTTGGCAGAATCAAAAACAATGGCCATGCTCGTGCATGATAGAAAGATGGACTGCCCTGGGCATCTCAAAGACGTTCGTGTCAGCGGTCCCCAAGGCGAGTGAACGTCATGGCGCTTTGCCACCCCAGAAGGTTCTTCAGATGCAATGGGACATGGCAGATTGCGCGTTGACCCTGCTGAGGTTCAGCCATTGCATCCCAAAAGTAGGTATATAAGCCTTTTTTGTGAACCATCTTGCAATTCCGACATCAGAGACCAAACAGTTTGGATTCTACGAAATTAGTGGAGGAAACAAGCCGGGGCAAACTCGCGCAACACCTGCAAAACTTGCAGGTTCACCCTTTCCATTATGTGTGCCACGAGGGCAAATCTATCCAAACCCGACGTGTCGCCGTCGAGCGTGTCGCCATCCACGCCGAAGCCCGGAGCACCGGAAACGCAGCACGTCGAAGCAGCGACCGGAGCACCGGAAAAGAAGCGCATCCCTGTCGTGAACGACGCTGCTCCGGGTCTTGCTCCGGGTTGGCAATTGGGAGGCATTCTAAAGACCCAACAGTTCTGTTGACGTCCTGCCACACGACTGTGTTGAAGCTGGGCCTGATGGAACGAAGGGGTGGCTCATGGGCGCCCCAGGGGTGTCCGTTAAAATCAAGCATGCTGCATCCATTTGGTCAGAAGAGCTCCCCCACCATCCTTGTCCACAAGAGCTCTGCCCGCCGGCAGTAGGTGGTGATGCTTCCCACGCGTCCGCAAGTGCAAGGCCGGATCGGGATGCTGTGGTGTGGAAACCATGAGGGGCTTGAGCTGAGCCCCCTTCCGCAAGAGTGAAACTGACTGGGTATGAACATGAATAGACTTGGGGCATGGCATGGCTTAGAAACAAGACAAACGATGGTGGCGCTGAAGACTGAGGTCCACTCAATTTGAGCCCAAGTGTTTCATGCTTAGACGCCGCACCTGTGGCAGTTGGTGTCGTTCAAGCTGAAAGCACTTCATCAGCACCGTCCACAGTGGCAAGTGCTGGAGTGGTGGTGCCAGACGCGTCTGGCGCGCAGCTTGGAGAAAACTCTACTGCTTCGAGGGAGATTCTGGGACTCGCAGGTGGGCTGTTATATTCGATGCAAGGAGCCCAAATCATCAAACTGTTACGTTTGGGAATCCCGCCAGTAACGCAAGATTAAGATCAATGACATTACTGCATACTGACATTCTGCTATGGATTTCAAAGTCGCATGTAACGAGTTGGCGAACCACCAACCTCAATGTCCCAGCATCATCTGCCAGTGACGGTTGTCAAGTTGTATATAAATAGCCGCGAGAGCTTCATTGGTCGCGTCCAGCCCAACGCATCCATGAAAGTGCGCTTTGAATCGTTGCCACTTGACCCAGCCTGCAGAAAAGGCTTCCAAGTGGAGGCTCTTGAAGCACCATTTTGGGAAGACATTTGGCAGAATTGCAATATTTACCGCCCCTGCCAGTGGTTCGAGCCCTTTTGGCCATCCCTGTGAGAGGGCGAACTTGAGTGGAGCCGGACTTGACTGGACTGCCAAGCACTTTTTTTGTTGGCGGAGACTTCACAGGCTGCCGATGTCCCGGCTTGGTTGCAATGCATCAAGTCTTCCTTGTCACCTCTCCTCAGAATTTCTGTTGAGTTTCTACCAGCACCCAACTTGGGAGCTTTTGTCAAAACATTCTTCCAACTTGCTCAGCCAGGCACCCGGCCGACAGGCGCGAGCGGCGCGAGCAGCGCGAGCCACTCCTGTCGGTCCAACTGCCGGCGGAGCGGCTGGAGCGGCACGGCCCGGTGACCTTCTTCGCGGTGGACGCCCGGGCGGATGATGGGCTTTTCGGGCGGATGGAGGGGAGGACTGTGGAAGGAGAGGGAAGGAGGCAGCCTTGAGAAAGTCACGTGTGTGACCTATTGACCTTAACTGCCGGTATAGCCTGATGGTGAAGCCGCCTCCCTCTCCCTCTCAGGACGTGCGCTCTGAGACTGGTGCCTGGCGAGTGATGCGTCGCTACACGGATTTCTGGAACTTGAAGGAGCAGCTGGGCGTTTGGAGCAACTACATGCCTGGAGCTCCATTTCCAAGGACAGCTAGGCCCGGGCTTCGAAACCCCAGTCCACCCAAAAGCATGGGGATCATTGCCTCAATGTCCTGCCCAGTAGTGACGCAAGCCTTGTCCCACCAGTGTGTATTCACCTTGTCCCGCCGAAAAACCAGGTCGCGTGGTTGACTGATCGAAGTAAAATCATTCAATTTTGCATTGACGGTTGTAGACACACCCCCACACACCGATGGTTGGCGCCCCACCCCCTGACGGTCCGCCAATTGACTCCATGGAGTAGACACACGCGGCTATTCATGTACTGGTAAACGTAGACTCTTGATGAATAAACCTATCCCCCCACTTGATGTATTGAAAAACCTCTTCATATGGGAGGTTTTGTTCATCAAGAGTTTGCATCACATAGGACATAGGCCAACCATTCTCTCCAAACGTGGGGTCCGTGGATAGGAAGCACTTCCTGCAGTGCAAGGGCTGCAAGCTGGAACGCCGGCGAGCGGGGCTGGAGACTTGGCCACTTGGATGGATGGCTTTCAGATGGATGGGGTGGATGGATGGGACGGGACGGGACGGGAGGGGCGGGACGGGATGGGATGGGATGGGATGGGTGGGATGGGACGGATGGCTGGCTGGCTGGCTGGATGGATGGATACTTTGCTGCAAGCCGGGGCAAGCAAAGCCTCCGCAGTGAGGAAACCATGAACAAGACATAACAAGACTTGTGATTCTGATTCTGATTTATGCGACCCCTGCCCCTGATCTTGATCATGGCTGGAGGTAAGGAAGTTTTGATGGGTAGAGCAGAGTTGGAAGGCGCTTGTCATGGGCAACCCAGACAATGCTGTTGTTATTGCTGAACATTTGCCAGCAGATTCGCCAGCAGAATGAAGACATGTTTCCTTTTGTAGCGGTTTTCGTTTGTTCATTTCGAGGTCGGAGGGGTGCACAGAAGTTGTGCATGTCGGGCATGTAACCAGCGACAGTCCGTCAAGGATTATCGGGACTTGGGAAGAAGGCCTTGGCTACTACCAATATTTCTATGATTCTACATGGCAATCATGTTTGAAATAGTAATGGCTTTGCAGCTTCTGCAACGGCAGATGTCACATTTTTCGCTCTTTGCTTTCCCCCGTCCGTTCTCTTTGTGAGACGGCTCAGGGACGAGTCATGCCCGCGAGAGAGAGAGAGAGAGAGAAAGAGAGAGAGAGAGAGAGAGAAAGAGAGAGAGAGAGAGTAATGGTACTGTAGTATAAATGATCAGCATCATCCACTGTGGGTGGCAATGGGACGCACTCCCCCAAAGCAACATTAGGTGCTACCTGGAGGAGGTCATTGTAAATGATTCCAGACTTGGTTTAAGGGAACATCTACAGGAAAACCATAGTGGTTCAGGGGTGAATGCAAGGGTTTCCTGCAGATGTTCCCGTAAAGCTGTTCATTGTTGATGATTCTCATGGCTTGTTTCGGGAGAAGAAGTGCCGAAAATGCTCATGGTTTACACCGGGCACCCGCCCATGGCGTCGGCTGCGCGGCGAGGCTCCAGAAGGTGATTTCCAAGCCTCGTGGGCCTCATCGAGAATGGAAGCGGCTGGTGGGACGCTTGACGACTTCGTGTAGGGTGGTTTGGGCATGCAGGGTGGTGACTGGAATGGATTTGAAGGGATGGAGTGGACCGGACGGGCTATGAAGTTGATTTTCGCTTGGGCCGGATTTGGCTTTGGCTTGCACTTTGGGATGGCAGATGTGGATGTTCAAGATGCAGCCATTTGCTGTGCCCAAGGAATCTTCTTGGAGTCGAGCCGCCAGACCCTTGATGCGCCTGTGGCTGGTGCTGAAGAGCTGCTGGTGGAGATCGAGGTGGCCTGGCAGGATTAGAGCTGCTGGTGGTTGCAGCAAAGCAGAATCGCCGAATATCGTCCATGTGGGGCGACATCACTACCATGCGATGGGAGCCGGACATGAAGCCTAGGACCACCAAACCAAAGTATGACCACGGAAGAACAACAGAAGGGAGGACCCTTTTTTGGAAACTAAGAAGTTCCCCGGGTAGATAGAGGGATTCGATCACTTGATGCTGACCACTGGATGGGTTTAAACTGGGACACCTGGTTGTTGAAGTCCGTTCAGGTGACCGGGAGGGGCCAACCTGTGATGAGGACTTCGACCTTGTTTGAAGATATACACCCTGAAGAGAGCAACATGGAACTTCAATACCACTGGGTTGTATATAGAATATAGAAGAAAAGGGTCTCCCAAGGTCCATTGCCATCAGCTTCCATGTGGGTCTCGGGACCCGGGTGTATGTATATGTGTATCTGTATATAGTTAAGTAGTGTCTATATTTTTCTTTACATCGGCATGTAATACATAATGTATATTGTTAATTGAATGTACACAATTTGAGAATTATGTGGACTCGGGCGGCACGTGTCTCTTGAAGATGTTTAGACGAACGAGACCGTAACGAGACCCGTTCACATTCGTCTCGAGCCGTACTCGAGACGTGGATCGGACCAAGCGGGAGACCCTTGCCCTTGCTGACAAAAGCTGGTTTACGGTCACTAGGCACGCACAGGCAGACCATATACACCAGGGGTCACATTGGAGGACACACACGTATATATGCTTAGAACTATATGTATATGTATTGAAACCTTTTCCTTGATTCTTTCCTCCAGGTTCCGGAGCACCTGGAGGAAGGCCAGCAAAAATCGGGGAGAGGAGTGATGGAAGGGGTGTTGAAAGGACGTGCCGGACAGGAAACAACTGTTCGAACGTTGATTCAGCTTGGGAAGCCAGCAGTTTGGGATGGATGTTAGGGAGCTTACGACTTGGCAAGTCTGGAAATGGAGCCTGCCGTCAAGATTAATCAGTGAAGGGTACATTTTTGTTGGACAAAATTATGTGGCGCTTCAGTGTGGCCTGGGGTCCTGTATCCTACTGCTGTGCAGGCTGAAATTGGTGCCAGCAATCAAGAGGGTGGTGCTTGGCACCCAGCTTCCCGGATTCCCTCAAACCAAAGGCCTATCGGCTTATCTCACTGGCCTGAGAGCATTCGCTGGGTGGCCTTCTCCTCGCTGGGTTTGGGGACAATGGAGTTGCGGCCTGGTAGATGGCAAAAACATGGGGTGACGACCCCTGCCCATCGATCGTTCCAGTGCACTACAGCTCCGCTGCACCTTCACACGCACGTCAGCGCTCCGGCCAACGTCAGCGCTCCGGTGTGCCACTCCGTCGCTGACTGCCTCAGGGCAGCTCTTGGGAGTGACCATGCCCGATGGCCGCGCCATGACCCTCCCGGTGCCCAAGGTCCGGCTGAACGGGGCCGAACGGGGAACGCCGAACGGGCCGTGACTGGTTCGAGGTGCTTTTTGAGGTGCCTGGCTTTTGGAACAGAGGAAGTCAACAACAGCTCTGGCCAGGGCGAGGAGGAGCATGTGTTGTGAAAGGCTATGAACTTCAGGTGGTGTACTTGCCCCGACCCACCGTCCTTCTAAGCCAACATATGCCAGTACCAGCCATCTCTTCCACCCCGACATCCACTGATCGCGTCCAGGGTGCCCCTGGTTCCAAGCTGGAGCTGACATACAACCCTGGAAGCCAGACCTTGGCAGTGGCTTGAGCGTCATCCGCGGATCCCCGGCGAGCTGACTTGGGCTTGCTGAGGAGAGCGGAAAACACCTCTTCCGATCGGGGCCGCGTGTGTGGCGCTCCGAGCAGCAGAACTGGTGGCCTTTGAAGGATTTTCATAGATACCGTGGAGGTGATGTTCTTGGGATGGTCGACAAAATAGATTCAAAAAAGATGCTATGTGATGAGCAATCCAGTCATTTCAGGCCCTGTGTGGATGACGGGCATGATACAGGGCAGACTAACATACGGTACATGTATACATACATCAACACACGGCAGCCAATAGCTGAGGATAGGGGGTTTTATCACATGCTTCAAACATGGAATTGGCTTTCTCACGGCTTTTCTCGCCGCTGAATCAAACCTGCGACCAAGCGAACCGAAAGCGAGGAGCCAATAGTGCCCCGTGAAAGAGACGGAAAAAAACGGTCGGGAAGAGGAAGAGGTGACAATTCAATTGCTTTTCGGCGGCCCATACCCAAGGGGGGGTCACTAGTGACAAGCAATGTGTCAGAGCAGTTTCAAGTGAATCAGCAGTTGAGGGATGAACAATTTGGGGTTGCTTCGCCATCAATTTGTTTTTGAAGCAGGTTCTTTTTGGCGGAGGCCTGGTGTGGCCGGGCGTGGCAGTTGACGCCGTCGCATGTGGGAGCACCGAACTTGGCGGGAGGATCACGCATCGAATGCAGGCTGTTGGTTTTGCATTTTTCATGCCTGGGGGGACGCCAACCTTGTGGTCAACCTCAGTACTCTTTTTGGTCTTGTGGTCAAACCTCAGTCAAAAAGTTCAACCATTTTCATGATGCAACAATCCAACAGAGGTTGAAGGACCCTATCGACTATCCCATAGGTACTCCAGTAGGGTCCTGTAAGGTCACTCAACCTCTGTTGGATACTCAAAGTCAGTTTTGCTTGTTTGAAGGCAACCTGATGAGTCCAACACATTCTAGGACTCCGTTGGACTCGGTTGAACCATGCATTCTTGAGGTGGCAGTCAATGGAATCGGTTTTCTGCTTCAGCTCATTTGGCTAAGCAGACTGTCAGCGGCCCCGCATGCGTGGTGGGATGAACTACACTGACTCACGAACATGGAATCTCGTAAGACTAGTTCCTCTTCAGGCGGTACGCCATTTTTCTTCCACCATAGCACAATAGCAATGTGGGTAAGGTTTTAGCTTCAGCTGCATGCAAGCAGGATTTCGCTCAAACAGCACGATGCCTATGGCAGGAACAACCTCATGTTTCGACCTTTTGAATAGATGTTTACCAAAACTGCTTGAGGCAGATCTGTCAGTTGACCTCTTCCGTCCACTGATGCACTGATCATCTCCCATGGATTCATATTCTGCATTTCGATATAAGGCATACCCCCAGTTCGACTGGGGGGCTTTTGTCCCCCAAAGGCCTGGTGAAGACTTCCTGATCGCCCCGCAGCCATGGCGGAGGGCGCGAAAGCTAAGGAGGATCCCTATGTCGACACTTGGTGTTCGTGAATCGTTTTCCTAACTCGTGGCTCGTGGCTCTGGCTCACGGTCTGCTGGGGGCTCGGGGAGCCCTTGGCATGGATGGCTTGGCGATGTTTTTTCTTGGAACATTGTTGGCTGGCTTATGTGAATTTAGAGTATACTAAGTAGATCTCAAGAAGTACGGGTGCGGGTCAAAGGTCCTGTCAGGGCATTCTCCTCGTGCAATTCGCTCAAGAAACTCTGGTGGCCACCGGGGCTTCGGTGGCCAGAGCTCCTTCGAAGGTGAAAGTAGCCCTGTCCGCTTTCATGACGTCGCATCTTGCAGTCAGTGCTGACTGCTGTGAGTTGGTTTTCATCACTCCGTGCGACGAGCCTCCTCCACGTACAACGCAACAAACGAACCTCCTCCACGATATGATTCCTGGTGGCTCTTGGGGTGGTTCGGCAAGCCAAGGAGGTCAAAGCGCTTCTGGACAGGCGCAGACTGGTCGGCAGACTTCGGACTCATGCGGGGATGGGGCTGGTCGGCGGTGGGGAGTGGTCGGCGCATGGTCGCTTTCTGGGAAAGGCATCAACACATGGAGTGACACTCGGTGAAGAAGGTATTTGGCTCAACCATTTGCAGGTCTTGGTGAAGCCCCAGCATTTGGACCTGCTTGTTTAAGCCCAGAGGGTTGGTGTCGCTCGGCCGTAGAGACAGGTTCCGACCGGTTGTCGATGTCGGAACCGAACTGGTTGGCGTATGCGATTGGCCCAAGAAGAACACGATTCAACCTGCCGGGTGGTAATAATGGTTATATATATATATATATAAACGGTTAAAATTTGCAAGGCAACGCAAGACTTCGTACGAAAATGTGTGAATATGTGTTTAATACAGCCTGGCAGAACTTGTCAGCCAAACAACGTGCTCAAAACGCGACGGATCAAACGTTTCAGAGAGGCGAGGTAAAAATTAACCGCCTGCCTTGAACGTTGGCGCAAAACGGGCGATGCGCAACAGAGGCAACAGCCGACCAAGCATGCGCAACTTCTCACGGTGAATTGTCCGAAACACTGCAAACCTTCTGGAACAAACCTACATAGGAGTTTTGTTCCCGTGAGGGCGGCACCAAATCCTTAATCAACAAAACTGGCAGCAAAAGACGCGCCGCATGCTCCATTCCCATATAAAACATATATGTTCAGATTTTGGAGCTTTCTGGCTTTTTGCTTCTTTTTTTTGGGGGGGGTGGGGAAGCCGAGGGTCCTTAAGCGTGAATGACGCCTACATGACCGTGTTCGACTGTTGAGGAGGCGACCCTGAGACCCTGCCGACGGGGGTGGAGCTTCTCACTGCGACCTTGGGCGACCCACGCTACCGTCGGGGTTCGGGTCCAGGCAGATGCGGCATCAACCGTATGAGCGCTTCGACCGGATCTACGAAGGCTGGCGCCGCTTTCGGATCGGGTGCCATTCGGTGCCAGCCACGGCCTGACCACGGTAGGAGGGGGGGTCACCCATGTAGGGCAACAGCCAACAGCTGGGTGGGCAGCTGGCCCGTGATCCAGGCGACGAGTTCGCGGACTCGCGCTTTGCCGAATCCTGACCTGCACTGGGCGGTGGTCGTGCGAATGAACAGTTTGGAGGTAGGTCCTTATAGTATAGGTGAGGTGAATGTTTGTTTTTCTGTGCGGGGTGCGAGGGGCTGGCTGAAGTGCTCAACCATGCTTGACCTGTGAGTTCGCATCGCGTGGAAGGAAGGCGGTCGAACTTGAAGGGTTTGTGGGTTCCAACGTGTTCCAGATCACAGCCACATCAACAAAAACATACCAAACAGTTTTGCCTCTTCCAAGCAAGGTGTGCCTCTGTCTGTGGTTTCCTGTCTCCTGATCTCTTCTCTGATTTCAGCGTTTTTCAGCATGTCTAAGCGCAGATCCGATCCACACTTCATAGATCACTTCATCAGATTTCACAGAAGATCTCATTTCAGATGCTCATCCTTGTTGCATTTCTCCACCATTCTTCTCCAGGCCATCGCAAGTAGGTTGGAGGCCATCGCAAGTAGGTTGGAGGCCATCGCTACTAGGGTGGAGGCCATCGCCACTAGGTTGAAGTCCATCGCAAGTAGGTTGGAGGCCATCGCAAGTAGGTTGGAGGCCATCGCAAGTAGGTTGGAGGCCATCGCAAGTAGGTTGGAGGCCATCGCGAGTAGGTTGGAGGCCGTCGCTACTATAGTCGAGGCCATCACAAGTAGGTTGGAGGCCATCGCTGCTAGGGTTATGAACAAAAGCTGTTGCTATCTCTATTGTTTTCAATAATATTTATTTTTAGGAATAAGGAATAAAATAGGGCAGAAAACAAGAACAACCATGAAATAGGAAACACATAGGATCGAATATTTCAGATTTACCTGAAGGCAGGTGGCTCATTCCGATCAGACGCATGGTCAGACACAAGTGAATGAAACTTGATATTTAACAGCAGTGCGGCAATGCACAGTTAGGCCGGCATTCGATTGGAATGATTAGATTAGATTAGATCTAATTATGTCCTTTCATTTTCCTTTAAACATGGATTACCTCCTTTCATTTTCCTTAAACAATTAAAACTTCCTTCAATTTTCCTTTTAACAATTATAGATTCTTTTAATTTCCCTTTAAACATATAAATTCCTTTAATTCATTTTCCTTTAAACATGATTAATTCCTTTCATGTTCAATTAAAACATTATAAATTATGTCATTTTCCTTTAAACAAATAAATTCCTATTGTCTATTTAATTTGTTTTAATTCCTATGTTTTTGCTATTTGGGGGGGGGGAAATCGCCCTATTTTCTTTTTCATATTTTTAATTCCTATTTTTACTTTTTTTGTTTCTTAATTGAACATAGTAAAAAAAATAGGAAACATAGGAAAAAACAAGAACAACTAGTAAAAACATAGGACGATTTTCAGCCCCCCCAAAAATAGGAAAAAATCGGATTTAAAAAAACAAAAAAGAAAATTAAAGGTATTTCTTAATTCTTGAAGGACATGAAAGGAAATAGTCAATTATTGAAAGGAAAGTGAAAGGCATTTTTTTTGAAAGGAAAATGACAGGAATTTAGAATTCTTACAAGGAAAATGAAAGGAATTTATTTTTTAAAGGAAAATGAAAGAAATTTAAAGTTTTTCAAAGGAAAATGAAAGGAATTAATTACTCTTTAAAGGAAAATGAAAGGACTATATTTTTTTTAAAGGGAAATTAGAGGAATTTGTAATTTTTGTAATTGAGAATGAACGGAGTTAATAAATCTTTAAAGGAAAATAGAAGGATGTTCTAAAGGAAAATGAAAGGCCGTAATCAACTTTTAAAGGAAAATGAAAGGAAATTTGCTTCCAGTATGTTGCTTCCAGTATGTTGCTTCCAGTCATTTGCTCTTCGTATCCATTTCATGTTCCTGTCCTAGAGTGCTGCCATTCTTTTCCGTTTTTCCTTTCCTATTTCTAAATCCAGCTCTTTTCTTTTCCTATTTTTGAGAATCATCCTCTTTGTGTCCTTTTGTTTTTTCCCTATTTTCAGTTCCAATTTTGTTCCTATTTTAGGATTTATAGACATAGCAGGCAGCTTTATGTCATAATGCTAGGGTGGAGGCCATCGCAAGTAGGTTGGAGGCCATCGCTGCTAGGGTGGAGGCCATTGCAAGTAGGTTGGAGGTTACCGCTGCTATGGTGGAGGCCAACGCTACTAGGGTGGAGTGGAGGCCATCCCAAGCAGGTTGGAGGCCATCGCAAATAGGGTGAAGGCCATTGCAAGTAGGTTGGAGGCCATCGCTACTAGGGTGGAGGCTCTGGTTAGTAGGTTGGAGACCATCGCAAGTAGGTTGGAGGCCATCAAGGCCATCGCACATAGGTTGGAGGCCATCGCAAATCACAAGTAGGGTGGAGGCCATCGCAAGTAGGTTGGAGGCCATCGCAAGTAGGTTGGAGGCCACCACAAGTAGGTTGGAGGCCATCGCAAGTAGGTTGGAGGCCATCGCAAGTAGTTGGAGGTCATCGCTACTAGAGTGGAGGCCATCGCAAGTAGGTTGGAGGCCATCGCTACTAGGGTGGAGGCCATCGCAAGTAGGTTGGAGGCCATCGTAAGTAGGCTGGAGGTCATCCCAATTTGGTTGGAGGCCATCGCAAGTAGGTTTGGAGGCCATCGCAAGTAGGTTGGAGGCCATCGCAAGTAGGTTGGAGGCCATCACAAGTAGGCTGGAGGCCATCGCAAGTAGGCTGCAGGCCATCACAAGTAGGTTGGAGGCCATCGCTACTAGGTTGGAGGCCGTCGCAAGTAGGTTGGAGGCCATTGCAAGTAGGTTGGAGGCCATCACAAGTAGGTTGGAGGCCATCGCAAGTAGGTTGGAGGCTATGGCTGCTAGGTGCATCCAACATGGCAAGTAGGTGGGAGGCCATCGCTACTAGGCTGGAGAGGGCCATCGCAAGGAGGTTGGAGACCGTCGCTACTAGGGTGAAAGCCGTGGCAAGTAGGTAGGTACACCATCGCTATGGTGGAGGCCATCGCAGGTAGGTTGGTGGCCATCGCAAGAAGGTTGGAGGCCATCGCAAGTAGGTCAGAGGCCATCACAAGTAGGTTGGAGGCCATCACAAGTAGGTTGGAGGCCATTGCAAGTAGGTTGGAGGCCATCATAAGTAGGTTGGAGGCCATCACAAGTAGGTTGGAGGCCATCGCGAGCA